AATGTACGGCATACGTTTAAATGATACGTGTTCGTTCATGTTTAATATATTATTATTGGAGGTTTTAGATATTAATTGAGTTCTACCTCCTCCTCGGTGGAACTCTGAAAATCGTTTAAATGATTTTCGTCTCCTGAAGATTCGTCTGTCGAGCTGTCATTATTTAAATGTTGAGTCTTTGTTTTCGTAAATTTTTCCCTATCTTTCCTTTGTTTTTTATAACAAGAGGTAACATCGTGACCTTTGATTTTGCAAAAACTACAAACTACATCCCTATTACTACTGTTACTAATATTATTGTTAGAAGTACTTGTTGAATGTTCCGACTTTGAAAAATTCTGTTTCGGTTTCTGTTTGTGTAACGTTTTTATGTGTTTGTTTTGTGACCTAAACAGCTGGAATTGTTCTTGATTTCTTCTTTCTTTATTTCGTTTTTCCTGTTCCCTAGCATATAGATACGCGTCTTCTAATCCTTGCGGATCTCTCGGGTTTACAGCTAATTCTATATCTGAACTAATATTCATTAAGAAAATACTTTTGGATAATTTTTCAACTAACTCTTGTACGGCTTCTTCTGGGGAAGCGTCTTTCCTAACTGATTCGGTTACTGCTATGGTTAATCTATCTCTAATTTCTGCAATTTTATTATAAGTTAATTTGACGTTATTGTCATTTTTAATTCTAAACAGGTCTCCAAACAGATTTTCGACAGATTTTTCTGAACCAAAATTTTGATTTAAAAGGTTCCTTATACTAAGCCATAATGTAAGTTTTCTATTTAGTATTAAATTTGCTGCCCTACCACGTAGTTTTGAACATGCTATTCTAACTAACACTGGTTTCAAACTTTCTGGAGCATTTTCGTAGGCATAATCAACACAAGAAATGAAATGTGCTACCGGAATATTATCGCCGTCAAAATCTGGGATAATTTTAATTAGGTAATCAAAGAGTAACCTATCTTCTGAAGTAGTAGACATTGTTATTGACGTAAAAAGATTATTTTCTGATTCTGTTAAGACATTATACCTGCGGGCTTCCCCGAATCCTTCTAATTGCCGCCTTCGTTGCATTCGCAGTGCATCTGCCTTGTATTCTTGAAATTTGGTTTTTCCCTAAATTATAACACCATTGTGTACCATCCAGCTACGAACCTTTTGGTGTACGTGACTAGTGTCGTTGGGAGTAGTGACCCGGGAAAAATTCCATAAACAGAAATAACACAAGTGGGAGAAATAGGTTGAGATAAAAAAAGGACAGAACAGTTCAGAAAAGACAGTATTAGCACATCCATCAAAGCAATCGCTTCAAAATTCAATTCATTTTTGTAATCTTAAGTTTAAGTGTGTATGTATAGGGTTAATAAACGTATTTAATGATACGCATCTTATTAATCGGACATACGCTGGTCCTTCGAGTTGTTTAATTGTTCTTACCGAACAATATATGTGGTACAGCAGTACACCGGCGAAAGATAGGTATATAAGTTTTTTTACTTTTCCTTCGCCAAGCGAGCCAAGCTCCGTAACATTGGTCCTTCGAGCCGGATAGTTTTTTTTTGTGTCGAATTCGAATCAACTAACCATCATCTTTAATCATCGTCTACACTACGACCTGTTATAGTGGAACGTGTCAACATCCCGCAGCTGCATCATCGTAATTTGAGGAAACAATCGTAAGTGCGAAATTTCACTCTCTTTCCTTTCATCCTATTTCCTATATATTAACATCTATATAGTTGCATCAATTTGAGTCATGGCCGAAGTAAAGTTCCTCATAAGTCAAAAAACAACCCTAAAATCGAGAGTCACCAGACTTCAAAATAAATTAATTGAAACTGAAGGCAAGTCAGAAATAACCCCTAAAGATGTTGACCAATTGAAAGGTCGTGTAGCGATGTTTGAACCTAGTTTAAAGGAATTCGAAACAATTTATAATAAATTAGTAAGTTTAGTGGATGATTATAATGATGTAGACGAGTTAGCAAACTTTGAAGATTCGTATTTTGAAGTTTTGTACAACATAAAAGCGTTTTTAGCAAAATTCAATTCAGATGAGGGTAATGTGACTGTTCAAAATAATTCCAGCGATTTCAACATTAAAAATCCTAGCATAAATAATTCTTTAATTCAACTTCCGAGTGTATCACTACCATCATTTAGTGGTGATTACGAAAATTGGGTAGAATTTCATGACGCCTTTTGTTCTCTAGTTCATTCTAACCACAGTTTATCAGACATACAGAAGTTTTACTATCTAATTTCATGTTTGAAGGGCGAGGCTGCACAAGCTATTCGTTCTTTAAAGGTATCGTCAGAGAATTATACAATAGCATGGAATATTTTACGTAAGCGTTTTGAGAATAAAAAATTGATAATCCAGAATAATATTAGGGCCTTATTTAGCTTAGAACCTATACAAAAGGATACACATGTAATATTACAAAGAATGTTAGATGACATCTTAAAAATCCAACAAAGTTTAAAAAATTTTGAACAGCCAACCGTAGATACCCTGCTAATTTACATAATTACTTCTAAATTAAGCAATAGCACGCGATATGAGTGGGAATTATTTAAGCCTTCAGATGAATTTCCAACATTTGAAGAATTTTTAAATTTTTTAGAGAAACGGTGTCATTTTCTGGGATCATTAGAGGTAAATCGAAACCAACAATTACTATCAAACACGCCAAATAAGCATTCTAAATTGATTCAAAAATCATTTATATCGACATCCAAGCATGATTGTGTAGNAAATAGTTAATATTCATTTTTTTAACTATTTTATGATCTAAAATTTACCATTTGCCATCTTCTACTGTCTGAAGAGTTGAAATGGTCAACTCTTTGAGTAAATGTACTCCATTCTACGGATGCTCTAGTTTCACGTTGCTTGGCGGGCGGTACTCCACGGCGAAGGAATAATTTACCCTAAACAAAGTAATTTATTTCTGATGCACTGTCATCCTTGATGCATTTCTTAATTACTGACTCTTCAATGAGTAAATTCGGAACAAAAAAATGCCAATCACTGGTCTAACAGAGATGTCAAGAGTATCTGTACATGACGCTGCATAGTAACAGTAAATTGTGAAATAAATACTATTCTTTTTATAAATATATACGCATTTATAAGTAAATTAAATTCCAGATTAGAATGTCATAGATTAGCTCAGGAAAGGAAGGAGATGAGGTGTAGAGGTATGATGATGATGCACTACTCAATAATTTTTGAAATTTCAAGAACAATTCAAGATTTTTAAGTAAATGATGTTAGAATATTGTATTTTATAAATTAATTCTGTTGCATGAGAAAACAATAAGGAATCACAAAAGCAGACATAAGAAATGTAATTTTGTGAATCGTGTAACAGCTTATCTTAGATGCAAACCAAAACGAAAAAGCTAAGAAAGTCTACAAGATTTTTTTTTCTTTCAAATTCTTACGTATAAAATTTACAAGGACCTACCTCAGTCGAAAACGTTCCTGTAGTTAATAGAACTATTAGCGTGACGAAAAGTCCCCACATTTTTGTTACACTTACTATTACTATTCTACTTTTCAGTGAACTGTGAGACTTATTTCAAAAAATTTAAGGTACCTACTCTCCTTTTATATGTAATAGTAGGCATTGTATCAGAAAAAAGTAATTATCTTTCAACAGATAACGTCAAAAATTTAAAACAAAACATTAAATGGGTACATTACATTTACTTTATTCAACACCCTGTATATTACGGGTGACGGTGAGTGTATTAAGGGGTACTTTCCGTTTCTGTTGGTTTTTTGCGGGGAATATCGTCCTAATTTTATGTTTTTTTGTGACCAGTAGATTTAAGAATGCATTTTTTAATTGTATACATGCCTCTATTTGTTGTGTTTTATTACGACACACGTGTTGGAGGGTCCTTCAAACTTTTTGTGTTTTCTTTGTAACTTTCTATCCTGATAAATTTCTACGAGTCTCAAGATAAAAATTGATATTATACAAATTTTAAGTGGATTACTTAATAATCGAATTCAGTTTTATACTTATACACGGAGAAAACTAAATTTTTATGGCAAAGAAAAAATTACAATTTTCGATTGTAAATGACTGAATTTGTCGTAGAAATTGTAGAATTTATTAGACAACTTGTAATAATCTCAATTTTGACATGCTTTTTTAAAAATTATTTCAAGTTTCTTAATTATTACAATCAAATTTGTTATATCAACTAAAATACCCAGTAAATTTATTTCTGCTGGGATTTTATTTTTACAAATTCGGCTCCAAATTGTAATTTTTATTATTTTCGCTTACGAAAGTGGGATAAATTGTAAATATCGCTTTAATAGTTAAATAAACTTTCGTTTTTCATTTTAGCATTGTACTATTGATTCACTATTTTACTCTGTTTTAATAACAGCTTTAGATATATCTACCCCCTCTTGTCCTCTTATCTTATGTATCGGATTTCTGTTGTCTTCAAACTGACTCGTAATTTTTTTTATCTACACTTTCTCAGTAGGTACTACCCAAAATTTGATGTTGATCATTTTTTTTTATTTGTAATTGTTACTTTATTAATTTTCAGTTGTAAATATAAACTCAAAAATAACAATAAACAAGAAAAATGTTACCTTCCATTTACAGGACCATAAAGGTTTAAAATACTTAAAATAAGTATTCTCAATTAACCTTAACTTTTCAAAAATGCAAAAGAAATATTCCATCAACTTATAATATATCTCTTTTACCTTATCATTTCTTTTCTTTTTTTAAAATTACCTTAAATAGGATCATACAAACCCTCATCACTACAACCTAGCATATCACTGTATTCATCCCATATAAAATCAAATTGATACCTCACGTTTGTATCTGTATTTTAGCTTACAGATAAGAGGTAAGCACATGAGCAGGGAGCTTTTTTTGGATATTACAGAAAGTAATTGGTATTAAATAATGAGGGGCAATTGAAAATTTAAAATTATAGGTACATTAATAAATAAACTGATAATAATGAGCTTTATTCATGTAAATAGTAACAATTTGATTCGTAAATAAAAAAAAATATGGTGCACTATACATATGTATACATTATATACATCTTGAGAGAAATAAATTGTATAGCAAAAAAATAATAAAGAATAATATCAATAAGTTATTGGATTTTTTCTGTTGTAAATTCAATGATTTCTTCTTTTTCGATTATCCAGGCAGTTATTGTGTTCATAATCCTGGTTTTAGCCTGTTTCATCTCTTCGGAATCTGAATCCCTAATCGAGTACAAATCGGCAGAATGCGAAGTACCGTTAACAATAATTGTAATTGCGTTCTCATTTAAATCATTCAGTAATCCCACCCTCGAAAATGGATCCACCCAACCATGGTATGTAATAAGTCGTGTTACTTTCGGCTTTATACCACCATAAAACAAATTTGTCTGTTCAACTCCACTATTGACTGTGTAAGAACCAAATCTAAAAATTATTTTAATCACTATCGAATTTTTAGTGTATTTTTTAACTGAATAATTAGGAATGCATATTTTGAAAATCTTCGCCAGTATGAATCATTACTTATTATAAAAAGATGCAAAGGGTAATAATTCACAATTACGAGAATTTTACTTACTCTGCCCCAAAAAGGTCTCTGCACAGTTGATAATACAAATCTATAGTGAATGTGTCCCCAAAAGCGCGCGTTTGAAACCAACCAAACTCAGCACACATTTGATACATCCATTGACGCACTTAAATAAGAATAATGTAAGTAACAAATGCGAAACAACCCCCACTTTCTTCAATCTTTATTAATTTTGAAAACAGGGACAAACGATTTGCATGTTTACATTTGTGGACGATATAGCGTCACTAACATCTACCAAGAGATGGTCTTAAATAATAAAATAAAAAGTAAATTGAAAACATTGATATGCAAAGTAGGAAAAAGTAGGGAAAGAGTCAATATAAAAATAGGAAACGAAAAATTAAAAATATCTAGTCACTTCTGTGCTCGCGAGCGGTTAATTTAAATAACACGCATGGACAAATAATCACCAAATTAATTGGGAGAAGGCAGAGATTCTCCATCTGGAAGTGCACTGGTTCTGGTATAAATATAAAGAAACGGCATTTATCCAGCAACAATGAACGTTTAACTATCCAAGTATGGAAATCAATGACATATGGAAACCGCTGTTGAAGGTGATTCCGGAACTCCAACTCAATCAACCGAAACGAACACGTAGTTTTAAGTTTACAATTAGTTATCTGATGACGACTGGAGATATTTACACAGTCGGAACGTTGTAACGGTATATTACATAAAGACATGGAAGTCCCAAAGTCTAAGTGTATTTCTAATACAAAAGTGTCTGTAACTTTCAAACAAACAGGGATGTGTAATGTTGTACTTTTAAGGAAATGCGAAGATTAGCTCAAGATAAGGAAGAGTGGAAGCACTTGAAAGTACAGTCATACTGACGACCCTATGATGATATAGTTTGTAATGTCTATTGATGTCCTTTGAGTTTTCTAGAGTTTTTTAATATCTTATTTAATATTACTAATAAAAATTGATGCTCCACAGTTTTCGCTTCTCTCTATTCATGTAAAAAATTAATATATTTTTAATTAGCAAATTCGGGCATTACTTCAGTTCCATGTTTTCCCTCAGCAACTTATATAAAAATTTCTACTCTTTCCTTCGATTAAGAGCTTTCGTCAAATTGACAATAACCACAATAAGTGCCTATATCATATTCCTATCAATACTGGTAACAAAACAGTTAAATGAATATGTAGAAACAGAATGATATCGATAAACAACAAAAATTGAACCCCGTTTTGGTATTTCTATTTACAGTCGAAAGTTGAATACCTACAATCGTCGTTTGTTCCCATTTGTGTCGTAGAAAGAGATCTTACAGTGTCATCGTAAGAATCTAAACATCCTGAGGTTGGTGCTGCATACTTTGCTAATTTTTCCATATCAGAACCTGTTTGATTCTCGAGGAATCTGCACACTGCCACCAAATCTCCCGGTTGCGCATACTGAACTACTGTTCCAAGGTTGAATGGAACAGAGCTAAGAAAATAAGATCTATCTGATTCGACTGAACCATTAACAACCTCACAAGCACTGAAAAAAGTTAAGAACATATTTACGTGCTGTTGTCTAGTAGCCGATATATCTAAAGATACTTCCATTATGTAAATGTAGCAAAAATTAAAGGAAGACCCACCGAAATAATTGTGACACGTTGGCGGAACCCTCTGGAGTTTCTAGCATCTCCATTATTTCCGCCATGGCATTTCTGATTAGTTTTGGACAAGTGGGGGAGGCAAGGCGTAAATTTTCTTCCACAACTTCATAATATTCTACAAAAAGGTGGGCGATGCTTTTATGTTTTGTATTGTTGTCAACGTATGCCTCACGTAACAATCGATACGGAGACACATTTGTGCCATTAATAGTTTATACTTTAGGATCATAAATCATACGAAGCTATAAAAGTTTTCCGAAAATGTTTGACAATTGTAAAATATGTAATAAGCCTCCAACGAAAGTCAATCGCAACATATTATGTTTTCCTATATTTCGACCGTGTTTTACGGATTAATTTTTATTATACATACGCATGTTTTTATGTCTCTTTCTTTACCTGGGAAATCAGCTTTGGCATATATAGTACCACTAGAAGAATAAGCAATGTCTATTAAATGAGGATATTTTATTCTTGCCCAAGTAGCTAAAGCCCCTGCGTACGATGAACCCTGAACTACCACCTGAAAATTATTGCAACACTAATTTTCTGTTCATTTATGGTACACAATGAAATCAAAGAAAAGGTGACTCCTCCATAAAAAATCAACCCTAATTACACAATTAGAAATATTTATTACGCTTTTCTAACTGAAACATTATTTTCTGCTCAGTTTCATTTATAAAATCGTGAAGGCGCTTGGCATGTTATTCATTAAAAAAAAGAATTGGTGCAATATACTAACAGGCACTAAAAAATTTAGTGAAATATTGTGGTCTGCATAAGAAAAAACGACCGAAATATTAGAGTCGTTTGACAATGCTTAAAAAACAAATTAGTATAAAATTTTGATAGATCTAATTAAAACGATGATTTTAATATTTAATTGCTCATTATAGCTACTCACTGTACTGTTTCGAAGTCCTGGTATGTTTTTCTTTTGATAGTCAATGAAATACGCAAGGTCTGCTAGAGCTTGATCAACAGACAAGTATTTTAAACTGTCGGTCGTTAAGTCACTATTAAATAAATAACTAATTATAAGAGATTGGTGTACACAAGATCTTACCACAATTTAATAATACGTTGTAATTAAGAAAAAGTATAATGGAAAGTAAGCGAATTACGAATGTGAAAATGGAAAAGGCCTTTGTCTAATTTTAATCTGACTAGATACACATTACTTAAAAGGTAAATTAAAGAATGTAAATCATTTTTACCCTATTGGATAACTGTTACCATAAAATCTATGCTCTGTGTGGAATAAAATGGCATTGTGTAATCGGGCTATATCAACAAACAGTCCTGATGTAATCCATCCTGCTGTTATATTCCATTCGCCCCCTATAAACACGAACATGGGGCGCCCTTCTTCATAAAACTCGTTATTTTNGTATCAGCCTTGGAGGAGATTATGTTGAGAAATAAAAAAAAAAAATTTTTAAAAACCTTGTTTTTCTTGGTCAGGCCGGAAACTTATCAATCCACCCTCGTATGTATGCAAATATTGTTACGTCTCTTTCTTTACCTGTAAAATCTGCTTTAGCATATAAAGGACCACTGGAGGAATAAGCAATATCTACTATATGAGGATATTTTATTCTTGCCCAAGTTGCTAAAGCCCCTGCGTATGATGAACCCTCAACGATCACCTAAAGGTTATCGGAAAACTAATTTTTTGTTTATTTATGTTTGATACAGAAAATTTATTTATTCACTTAATAATGAAACGTAAAGTTGCTACTACGTCTTAACTTTTAAAAATCAACTCTTGTAAAATTTTAATTTATTGAATATATCAGGATGGCATACATATTAGAAAAACATGGCGGAGGTGCTCGGCATGTTATTCAATAAAAAAAAGGATTAGTACAATGTGCTAATAGCCACTAAAACCTTTACTGGAATATCGTGATCACATAGTCAACAAATAATAAAAATCGTTTCAAAAGTTTAGAAGAAAATCAAAGTCATACGTGGTACTTCATAACAAATAAGTAAATACTTATTAAATTATCATATATCTAATTAAAAGGATGATTTTCATGTACGTTGTACTGAGTAGCAGTTTAATGTGACGATAATCTTTTGAATTGGGCCGTTTTTGAAAATTATTTTTCTATACTAGGTATGTATGTAGTTACCAACTAATACTTTTGTTCATTTGGTACTCACTGTACTGTTTCGAAGTCCTGGTGTGTTTTGCTTTTGATACTCAATGAAATACACAAGGTCTGCTAGAGCTTGATCAGCAGATAAGTATTTTAAACTGTCGACCGTTAAGTCGCTATGAAATAAACAATAAATTATAAGAACATAAGTTTTCACTACAAGTTAATAATGCATTGTAATTAAAAGTATAATCCTATTGAATGAAAGGTGAGCGAATTGCGAATGTGAAAATGGAAAATGCCCTTTATCTAATTTCACAAGATCTTACCACAATTTAATAATACGTTGTAATTAAGAAAAAGTATAATGGAAAGTAAGCGAATTACGAATGTGAAAATGGAAAAGGCCTTTGTCTAATTTTAATCTGACTAGATACACATTACTTAAAAGGTAAATTAAAGAATGTAAATCATTTTTACCCTATTGGATAACTGTTACCATAAAATCTATGCTCTGTGTGGAATAAAATGGCATTGTGTAATCGGGCTATATCAACAAACAGTCCTGATGTAATCCATCCTGCTGTTATATTCCATTCGCCCCCTATAAACACGAACATGGGGCGCCCTTCTTCATAAAACTCGTTATTTTGTATATATCTCTAAACAAAGCTTTATATTAAAAAATGTGTGAAGATAATTTTTAATATTGTATTTTACCACAATAGTAAAATGTTGAGCTTTATCTTTTTGTGAGTTAAATCGAATTGGTTAAATAATTCCGATTCTGCTTTTGGTATTTTTTATGTAGTTAACAGTTATAAGTAATATTTAAAAATTTATAGACGAGTATTTACCATTTGCCACGTTCTGTTGTCTGCAGGGTCGAAATGGTCAACCCTTTGTGTAAAAGTACCCCATTCGGGCGAAGTTCTAAATTCAGGCTCCTCGGGCGGCGGTATACGATGACGGAAAAGGAATAATTTTCCCTAAATAAATTAATTTATTACTGTGACGAAATAAGAAAAAAATCATTTGATTCGTTGCATTCCCGAGTAGAAAATAAAAAGGGTAGGGATCCGGATCGGATCCGGCATCCCAGCTACCCTATTAATCAATCAATCAATACGTAAATCTCGGCAGGGCCGGATAAAAAATGTAACGACTTTAAAAGGCAGGTCCGGACCTTATATGATCCATATCAGGGTACCCTGTTTGATCCTGACTAGGTTAACCTACATGGAGCAAATAAGGATATCTTGTAAAGTCCTGACTAGGTTCATCTACACCGAGCGTATTAGAATATCCTGTATGGTCTTGACCTGATAGATCAAGATTAAAATAAGGTTCAAGTAATTACAACTAATTATTCGTAATTTAATATATTTTTCATAATAATAATTTTTAGAATATAAAATTTTGAACTTACACACTCAAACTATGTAAGAATGTAAGATCTTATTATAATAAAGTCCATTATCATCAGTCAAGTTCCCTGAANCCTGATCAAAACTATCTTTTTTATTTTTTTTTTGGTTAAAGTAATTATATTTATTATAAACAAATAGTCTCCAATAAATAGTTATGGATACAACACATTTGCTATTATTACATTTGTATTGAAGTTGATTTTCAGGATCCATTTATTTCATTTATCCAGGAAGTTATTGTATTCATAATCCTGGTTTTAGCCCGCTGCATTTCATCGGAATCATCGCTACTAATCGAGGACAAATCGGCAGAATGCGAGGTGCCGCTAACGACAATTGTAATTACATCCTTACTTAAGCTACGCAGTAATCCCATCTTGTACCACGGATCCGCTGTGCCATGGCATGTAATAAGCCGTGTTACTTTCGGCTCTGTGCTACCATACAACGAATTTGTTCGTTGAATTCCGATATTGACCCCGTTAGCGTTAAATCTAAAAATTATTTAAACTACAATCGAATTTTTAGATTTTTGTTTTAACTGAAAAATTAAGCCAATGTTTCTTGGAGTTACTATCGCAAAAGAACGTTAATTGTACATCATGACTATTCACAATTATGAGAATTTCTACTTACTCATTACCAAAAACATCGACGCATATTTGATAATACAGATCTACTGTAAATAAATTGCCGAAACCGCGTGTTAGAAACCAACCAAATGCACTGCATGTTTGATATAGCCACTGACGACCTTAAATAAAAAGAACATAAGTAATAAAGAGTAAAAAAGGAACTTTAAAGTAGAGAAGTATTGTTTCCTTATTCTTCCAAATAAAGAAGAAGGATACCGCTGGAAGAGCAACGGTCCCTATTGCAGCCATGTGTTAATTTGAACTCAAGTTTGGGCTTTTCTTCTTGTATTATATTTTATCTCTCATCCATTCACTCAGCGCAATCCTTTAGGGAAAAAACATGGATTTGTCAAAAGTATCAACAATGATACCCTGCTAGCAACGCTCCAAAACTGGAGACAGAAAGCTGATGCTGATACTTTCGACTGACTTCTTCTGATGCGAGAAAACGTCAACGATGGATAACCTAGAGCATGTGGCCGATAAACAAAATACTCGTTTTATAAGGGAAGTTTTAGATGACTAAAAAAAAACTTTTGGGTGTTTCATTCCCACCAGCCAGTAATGCCGGTGGACGGGCAGTCCCTCTGGACTACTCCAGAAGGTAGGGCGGAAGGCCCTCTTCAGCCTGCTTTCGGGAATCGTGGGAATGGGTGGGTGGTGGTTCGGGTGAGAAAGATGAGACGGACGAAATGAAGACAGAAGAGAATGAAAGATTCTGTGGAATATTACTGCCACAGCATTTGCCTAAATGATCCAAGGAAACCACAGAAAAACTTGGACTAAGGCAGACGGACCTGGAATCGAACCGGCGTCCTCCCGAATGCTAAGCAATGGTCTAGACCTCTAGGCCATGCCGCTCGGTAGATGACTCAATCAACTGCTGCATCCAGGGGAAAAATATAGCTTGAAAACAAATGAAATCGGAAACATATACCGAATACTAATCCAAATAACATCTCTGCATTTTTGGAAACAGTTAATTACTCCCCCTTCTCATTCTGGTAATATCTATACTGTTGTGGTATTGAGGGGTAATTTTCTTTATTTACATTCATTGGTTGAAAACTTACTATCGTCGTTTGTTCCTTTTCGTATATCAGAAAGAGATTGTATATAATCTTGATAAGAACCCATACATCCTGAGGTTGATCCTATATAATTAGCTAATTTTTCTGCATTAGAACCTCTTTGATTCTCCAGACGATTACATTCCTTCTCTAAATCGCCAGGTTGGGAATATTGAGCTACGTCACCAAAATTTACTGCAACGGTGCTAAAGAAATAAGATGTTTCAAGTGCTACTGAACCATCTAGTGGCGAACAAGTGCTGAAAAATTTTAAAAACACTATTCAAATACTACTTTCTAACAGCAAATGTAAAACGACATATATGTGTTATGAACAAAGTGATTAATAGTACATTACAAAAAATTTCCGCGCAGTTTGAAATAAATATGAGAGGGCAGTGTGATTATAGAAATAATCAAATTGACTGGGCATTATTTATAACGCCTTATGTGACAGAACAATTACAACCAGGTTTTATTTCTGTTCTCTGTGTTCGCTCGTAATATTCGTAATGTCAAGGATACATAAGGAATTTCAAATTATAATGATTTATTTAGCCCTAAGTAGCTTGTAATTATTCGTAATGCGCGGCGTTATGGAAAATGCCCCTATTTAATACTTGATTCATAATATATACACTTAAATAAAAAGAGGACCTACCGAAACAAATCTGACACCTTAGCAGAACCCTGTCGAGTTTTTAGCATATCCGATATTTCAGCCATGGCTGCTCTGATGAGTGTCGGACAAGTGGAGGAGGCAAGGCGTAGATCTTCTTCCACAACTTCATAATATTCTACGCAAAAACGGCAATTGTTTATCATAAACGTATGCCTGAGGCGGCGATCGATATTTGTCACAATTGGTTTGGTAATGAATAAAAATGTAGATTTTAGAAAAGAATAACTTCTTATTAAGATATATTAATCAAAATTGTAACACAAAACACAAAATAAACTATAGAGAGTTTTTTGTTTCTTAATATTTAGATCGTTTTTGCGGATCAATTTCCTTGATACAAGAATATTAATATGTTAGTAGTCTTTCGTTACCCGTGAAATCAGCTTTAGCATGTAAAGGGCCACTGGAAGAATAAGCGATGTCTACTACATCAGGATATTTTTCTCTTGCCCATGTTGCTAATGCTCCCGCATATGATGAACCCTGCACCACTACCTAAACAAGTATAATTGCAAAACTAATTTTCCCTTCATCTATATTCGATACAGACGAATATAACAGGTGATGCATTTGGATAGATCTAATTAAAACTATTATTTTCGTTTACTTTGTACTATGTTGCAGTTAAATGTGATGTAATGATAACTTCTTGAATCAGACACATATGATGTAGTTGTAGTGATACTTTTGCTATTTACTCACTATACTATTTTGAAGTCCTGCTGTGTTTTGCTTTTGGTACTCAATAAAAGATTTAAGGTCTTCTAGAGCTTGCTCAGGAGTCAAGTATTTCAAACTTGAGGTCCTTAAGTCGCTAGGAAATAAACAATAAACTATAAAAGGTTTGTCTACACGAATTTTCACTGCAGTATGATAATACGTTGTAATCGAGAAAAATAATAATCCATAATCCTATTGAAAATGGAAAATGCCCCTTGTTCATTTTACTAAATACCTATAAAATGGTAAATTAAAGAATGTAAATATTGCTTACTTTATTGGATAACTGCCACCATAAAATCTGTGTTCTGTTTGGAATAAAATGGCATTCTGTTCCTGAGCTAAGTCATAAAAAAGCCCTGACGTAATCCAATCTGTTGTAATATTCCATTCGCCCCCTATAATCACAAACATGGGGCTGCCCTCTGTATAAAACTCGTCATTTCGTATGTATCTCTAAACAGAGACATTTAATCAAGATTTCATGTATTTCAAACACTACCGACAACATTTCTTCAAATACTGAATAATGAAATTTTGAGACAAACAATTAATTATTTTTATCTTTTTATCAGTTAGGTACATAAAATTGGTAAAAAGGTTGAGATTTTACTTTTGATATTTTATAAAATAGTTAATATTCATTTTTTTAACTATTTTATGATCTAAAATTTACCATTTGCCATGTTCTATTGTCTGCTACATTGAAATGGTCAACTCTTTGAGTAACAGTTCCCCATTCGATTGATGCTCTAATTTCTGGTTCTTCGGCCGGTGGTAGTCGATGACGGAAAAGTGATAATTTTCCCTACATAACTTAATTCATTATTGTACTCAGATAAGAAGAAAATAATATAATTCGTTACGTTGGTGATCGGAGAAACAGATACAGTGATCAAAACATGTAAGCGTTACTGTGATAGCTAACAGCAAAATATCCAAAAAACTTATAAATGTAACTTAATATTGAACTATACACTTTTCATCAGTATAGTTTCCAGGACCCACCTCAACTAAAAACGTTTCTGAAGTCAATAGAAGTGTCAGTGTACCAAAAAGTTCCCACATTTTCATTAGCAACACTTTTACACTTACTATTATTAGTATACTTTTCTGTTTTCCACTAAACAGTGGAACTCGTTTCAAAAACTAAATAACAGCGCAACTTTTACTCTCCTTATATGTATAAATAATAACATTGTATCAGAAAATAAGGAATTATCATTCGATTGATAACATCAAATGCTTAAAACATCATAATCTTTAATTCTATATAGCTTTTACTATCTCTTTTGTTTTACTTTTTTTCATACGGCGAAATAATATAATAATTATTTATTATTTTACGGTATAATTGGTTAATACAAGTATTAGTAATTGTATGCTTATTAAATAGGTGACAAATTATATTATGAAATTATGGTATAACAATTCTCCTATTTTAAGAAAATAAAACACCAATGTTACTTTTCTTCTTCTATCTTCAATAATGTTTCGATAAACCCATACACCACATGGTTATTGTGAAAATCTATTATTGCAGATTTGTATACAGTATGAATTTCAATATTGGTTACATTGATAATTTTAAAAAATATTTTTATCAGTCTGATCGGCTTTCCAAAAATCGTCAAGGGGCCGAATACCTATTGTTAGAATAACCCAGGAGAGTACCTATTGATTATAGAGAGGAACTAATAGTGTATTGAGTCCTTTCCGTTTTGTATAAGTTTTCTATTGTCTAAATTTTAATGTGCTTTTTGTGTTCGGTAGACCCAAGGATAGTTTTTTGCATCCTGTGCGTTTTAAAGTTAGATTGCTCGTGCTACACGTGTCAGTTGCTAGCGCGTCCTTCAATTTTTTGTGGTGTTTTCCAAAATCTTTGTCCTGATAAAAACCGTTAGAACGTGTTTCCAGATAAAACTTTATTATTATACATAATTAAATTGGTTTCACCTTGTGACTTTTACCTAATGGACTATTATATACAAGTATTTAGTTTTAGTGCATCTACTATTGATTCAATTTTACCCTGCTTTAACATGAGTAGCTAAAGCTAAATGTTACTTGTAGAGAAACAAAAATAAATATCATATATATATATAT